CTTTGGAAAACATCGGTATCGGTGCGGGAAAGAAATCGAAAAATGCACATTGCAAGTGTATGCCGTTATCGCCAGAGAACCACTGAATGCAGCTTCAACGCGGTAAGCCCTTCGTGCCCTCGTTTGTTGGTTTGTTGAATCAAAGTTAAGAAATTAATTTACCTAAGGAAGTGTCGCTTAAGTAACTAGGTTAACGGTAAACGAAGGAGAAAACAGTTTATTCTCTGGAACATCTAGGCGTGGTACCATCTGGCATCACACGTTCTCGTTTAGTGATATGATCATCTGATATTGGAGTGGAGTATATGAGAGATTGTTATCTGTCGAATGATATCCTTCTTGCTTGCAAGATGTAACCATTTCCAACATTGGAGTAATTGTTCGAATTAACATTCAAAATACTATTCCGAATCTACTACCAGGATGCCGTTTCGAGGCACTGATTTTTTAATAACGAATTAGTTATTCTCCCGTATGAATAAAGTAACCGGTGGTTGAGGAGAATCAGTGGCGCAGAAGATATTAAGTTGACTTTTCACTTTATAGGTGCAGGGTCCGAACCTCTGCACGGCTTAAAGTTTTATTAACTACAAATTCCTTGAGGTAGGAATTCATCCCCAGTGTTCTTCAGTGCAGTCAGCCGAGAAACGGGTGGCAAGTCGTTGGCCTGTGTGCAGTTTTGATGGCATGGTGTGGTCTGGTGTGGTAATGACAAGGCATTAGAGGCATTCAGCCATGCTTTCTGATGCCCACGCTGTGTCTCTACAGTTTCTCTTGTCCCACATGGCAGCAGACTAACCATCAGCACAGGGTGTGAACCGTAAAGTGAAGACAGTAAGGACACATAGAGCTGCTATAAGGAGGAGTAAGTATTAATAAAACATGATTCAGTAGTTTAGTGATGAAACTTTGTGTTAAAGTCAAGAGAAATGCAAATCCTTGCAAGAAAATCATAAACGAGCTGCACAAGGTCCTCAGCAAATTAGTTAATTTGCTGACAGTATCCAAAGACCGTTGTCCAGTTGTTCTTCTCATTGCTTCTAGTATAATTTTCGAACCTGTTCGTTTGGTTAAACTTCATAAGCCTAAATCTTTATGTATCATTATTCCAACGATAGGTTGGCACAGTCATGCACTTTACAAGCGGGCAAATGAATCTAATTGTTAAGTCAACAGTTGACAGGTGGCAGTGCCGAACTAAACTTACCGATAAATTAGGTGATACGCTAAACAAGTGTCCGGCGATATTTCACAGCTCCTTAGGCATTTACATTGAAAACGGTGCAGGTTTGAAATATGTTTAACCGTTCGTCATGAAACCGTTGTTGAATGCAGATCTTTAAGCATACGCCACGGAAGTAGCATTTACGGTATTTCAGCATGTAGAATTTATCACTAGTCTCAAATTTGCAGAACTCCATATCATAAATATGGGGTGTGCGCATGCATCGGTTCGAAACAAGCGCTGTTGATCCTTTCCCATCACGCATACTTTCAAGTTATCAGTCTGTGCTAGAATAGTTAGCAGTATTTTCGCTATAATAGTATTTTCGTTATATCTCGTCGAAAATGATCAGTTCAGTCAACCTGTTGCGTACCTGAACATTCATCGTTGACACACCGAATGATGACGCCCTATCTTCATATCTCTAGATTCAAACTTTCGGCTTCTCATAAAACTCATCTGTTCATTCTCACCGATAATTTGCCATAAGTCATGCATACCAGCAGGTGTGTTCAGAAATATCAAAAAATACCGATTTCATGTAATGAAAATTTTTAGCACGGATTGGAGCCAGCTGACCACATGAGTTAAATATTCCAAAGAAATAGCCACAACGAGTTCTTTATTGTCACTGAGTTTTTGCAGCCTCTTTATAAATATTTATCGTTTAACTAGACTTCACTAAGGGTCAGGAGGCAACTTAGGGTGACTCTAATAAATATAGTACCATGCCTGTTTTAAAAAAACTCAGACTCTGTCTACATGATTCAGTGCCAGAAAGGTGAAAAGTCATGCGGATAAAATGTTTATGAAACTGGATGTCTCCATATCGGCAGGGTCGTATGAAACACGTTAGTTGAAAGATATCCGTTTAGCGGAGCCGATGTTCTTATTAGCCGAGTTTTAGCACAACTGAAGTATCTTTCCTCATAATAGCTTCTAGAAGTACATGCAGTCATTGTTTTGCTTCCTGCCAACTGAAAAAACTAGACAGTTATCAGCAAAACCTGATTAGACACGAAGCAGGTTCACGGTTCCTCCAGCATTCTTGTACATCTGTAATCCTGCTAGTTAAAATTTTATCTTTTGGAACACGGCTTGAGCAGATGCAGGCTAATAGGCTGTTTGGCAAAAACAAAATAAGCGCTAATCAGTAACGAATGCCGTTAGACCTTCGCTGTCTTCTTGCAAAATGCTTCCTAATTCTCCCTCTCTTCTCATATACAGATTTGCCTTAAATGCATGCTCATTTATTGCGATCATCGTCTTCAGCCTTTATGAGTTATAAAACCTAAAAAAACATAATTCGGTTGACGTTGTTCACTGTATTTTCAATTTGTCAGCTGTGTTATTGGAGATGGTACGGCCCCTATGTTTTATAGCAACTCTGACGTGACCAGAGACTTGACCATTACTTGCTTGGTCTCACTCAACTCTTTACGACGTTGAAGCGAATTTACCCAGCTATCTTACCCTTGAAGTGCTGCCGCCGATTTTACTAACTTTGGTTGAACTGATTTTCTTGAGCAAACAGAGCGCTTAGAGTTAACCCTAAAAGTGAGACGGCGTTCATTATTTTGTGCTAGATATTCCTTAAACAAAGAAATCCTTTGAATAACAAACTGATCATGATCAGTTGAGAATGGCAGTGATCAAAGTGTCAAACGGATATGGAGTATATCACATTTCGGCGTGTTAGGTTGTTTTTTCAAGACGTTTATCGATTTTTCTGAAAAGGACGCCAGTAGTCATGCAAAAAAGCATGAGGGCCGAATCGAAAAATGACTGAAAAGCGAATCAGCTCAGTCAGTCTCTTATTGTTCTGAATTGTACTAGATTCTTTAGAATCGAGAAAAGCCAGGCAATTGAGTAAAGATACAAAGACTTCGTCACCATGGTTTACAAAAATGCAGCTGCTAGTGTGACGCTTCACGAAAGCACAAGCAAGTACAGTGCGGAAAAGGGCGTCCTACAAGGGGACGCAGTATCCATGAAGTAATTCATGGCAGCCGTAGAAGAGGTTTTCAAGACACTCCTTTGAAAGTATCAAGGGCTGGGCATAAATTGGTAGTACTTAAGCCATCTGCGATTTCTGGACGATTTTCTGCTTTTCTCAAGGGCATCAGAAGAACTCTTAAGAAGAATCTAACACCTGAACGATGTCTGCATGAAAGTAGGACTGAAAGTTAACCTGAAGAAAACCCAAGCTCATGGTCAACAAATATGTGACCGCGCAGCCTATTGAAATCGACGGATTCAGGCTTCAAGAAGTGCAAAATTAAAGCTATTCATGAATCTTGAAGTGCGCAAAGCAGAATGGAAAGGTATTTTGGGGATAACATAATAGGAAGACATAACAGACAAGAAAAAAATAGGAAGACAAATGAATGGATAAGAGCACATACAGGAGCCTGCGATACCTTTGCTGCTGACGAAGTTAAAGCGGCAATGAACAGAATACTTTGCAGTCGACCCTTGTTGGACAGGACAGAAGCTAGACTCTGTTGTCAGAGAAAGTTAATGGCCCGTAGAAATACCCAGGTTTATGGCAAGATATCTAAGGTAGTTCGCTAGATCAAGATCGACGAAGGTGGTTGATAAAAGAAGTTTACGACAGTCTTGGAGAGTCCTTCATCCAGCAGTGGATTGACAAAGGCTGATGGTGATGATGATCAATGTCTTGTGATTCAGAATGAGCCAAAATATGTCAGTTATGTGGTCTGGTCATGACTATAACGTAGCAGCTAGCGTTGATGCTTATAATAAGGATAGTACAATGTTTTTGAGGTGAGATGGTGCTGAACGCGTAGGTTGGATTTCGAAACGTTGAAAAGCGTTAATGTTGCTTGAAGCGGTGGGACGGCTTGAAGATCGATAAACCGGATTGTGAGTCGGCTGGTTAGCTTCATACTTGCGTATTGCAAGGGGATCGCTATTGGAAGTTTTGGAGTATCTTATTTTGAACATCTAATCCGCTTATCCGTTAAGCTTTCTATGAAGTAAATGTTGCTTGATCATTCTGAATGGATACAAAATCCCTATTTTCCTTATGATTTATGCTCTTATACTTGTTTGTATGTTCCATCTTCAGTCAGAAACCGTTGAATAGTGAAAATGTTTGAATGTATACCGGGCATAATTGAACGTTCGACTGCCAGCATTACTTCTGCAAGATTTCTGTAGTGCGTTCGAGAACCATGTTCGTAACACGTGCGTTTCAAATGCAAGACGCGGTGCAGTTTCTTTGCTTGTGGCCATATGGGTCGAGTAATGCGGGGGGTGAACTTTGAGAACAATGCGTTATGTCGGTTGGTGGAAACGATGTGAAGGGCTTCAGTGTTCCGTGGTGAGCTCACCAAACGTTTGCTTTGCGTGACTTTCTTGGCTAATTACGCTGATCGATTTTTGCTCTCAGCTTCAGATACAGATCGCCAGTGTTGTTTACGGCTAATGAATGTAGTTCGTTTTGCGATGCGTGCTTGGAAACTTTGCAGACATCCGATTTCTGTCGATTGGATATTGATAACCGATCGCTGTAGGAGTTAGCGATGCTTAACTGTAAATCCGCTGATCTCTTTTCGCTTTTCAGGTTGTACGTAACTGCTGTCAAAAGGAGACACTAGGATTGTATAGGGTATGTAAACAGAAAGCATGCCTCTCTAGTAATTTTTTGATAATCTGTTTTAAGAGGTAGAAATAGGAGGAGATTCTAAGGCGTACTAGGGCATGAACCCCCCCCCGCACTGTTCGCCTTATGGGTCTCGTGTCTTACTTACTAGAAGTGGCCACAGTGTCGCTTCGTCCATACCTTCATGTCGAAAGAGGTATCTCGATGACGGCTGTCGTCAACGGCCGTAGCATTCGACTTTGCGTACGTCTGTTCGAAATTGGCAGACTTGCGTATGGACATCGGGATAACACCGCCTAGATAAGCCGAACCACAGAACAAAAACGTGTTACTATGCAGCACATGACGAATCGACGCTGCGGAGAGGAGCGAGGAAATCGGGTTATTTTGCTCGCCTTCTTGCCTTTCCTCAACATTTTTGATATTACATGAGAATGACATCTGCATTGTCGTCACCACTCTCTTGCCAATAACTGTTGTATCCAATCGCAGCTCCATTATTCTCGACTGCCCGAAATCAACTTTGTAGTAGTAGTTATTTTAACGCAAACGCTAAACCGTATTTGTTATTTTTTGAAGATTTCCACCGAAGCGTTCCCACGAGATCCGCGGTCTACTTTGATCCTTCGCTAACGGATCGGTCCGATACAAAATTATATGACACCCGTATTGATTTGTGAACATTCTGCTGGGCTTGCGGAACGCTACGCTCTTTGAACGTTCTTCGATGTCATTCCTCATCTAACCCCTAATTCGGAGTTGCTGCGATTTTTAAAAGATTTAAAATGTGTTCGTCGACGGCGCCACGCCTTGCCTCTTTGCGTAGAATTCTGGCTGAATCATATCCTCTTCATCAGTAGCCGAGTCAGAGTCGCCTCGTTTTACTGGATAAGAAAAGGGTGAATCATTTTTCAGTATTGATTCGTAACCGCCGTGAATTTACCGCTTGGTAATAACCTGTGGTCCTTCCTTGATGCCTGATCGTGCAATGAGATCGAATTGGCAAAGATGGTGATGGTGATGATGGCGAAGGCTCTGTCAATCGGCTGAACTCAATTGTCTTCGATCTCGCCCCTCGCTGTGTAGGCAAAACTAAAAGGACGAAGACACGACGTTAACGTAACTGAGTTTTAGTTTGACAGCCGCCAGCACATTCGGCAGCGTTTCACCGAAAAGAAAAGGCGGATGAACGTTTATAACCGTTGAAATGTCAGTCTCTCTTCACTTTCATGAGTAAGATTTATTTGTGACGCTCTTCATGTCATAAAGCTTATGGTACAACGCTGATCTCCTTTTCATGCCATCAGCCATGAGTGCCTTTATTGAGGCAAAATCACGGTAATGTGGCAAGTATACGGGTAGTCCCCTGTTTGCTTCCCACAGAGTGATGTTTGTCAG